TTATGGAAATCGGTCGAATTCAAACTTTGCCGATTAACCTATTAAGATTAGTCTAGAGAAGGGAACCTGTTTACAACAGGCAGCACAGGTGTCCAGAAGAGATAAGGCAACCAAGTTTATGGCCAATGGCAGTTTGAAACTCATCGTCTGTGAGTAATGTTTCCTTTTTACCACTCGGAATCGCGTCTAGCTATTCATGGACGTTAGAATTTTTTTGCGTTTCTGAGCAGTTGAAGATTAGTTATATCGGGACACAGACAAAGTTTTTCAAACGCTGAAGCATAGGGACCAGGAAGCTCTTTAGATGACTTGGAACTGGCTGCTCGGATCCTTGGATAGCTAGAGTAAGCCACTCTTGTTTAGCTGAAAAAGGATATCCTAGATAAAAAAAAAGCACGCAATTGCCATTAGGAAGGGGGGTGAAAATCCAAGTCCTTCCCGGTAAGCGGGCATAGAGGCGAAGCACCAATTAAAATCGGAAAACTTTAAGACTAAAAGAGATTCGATAAAATGTTTAAATTTTAATTCGAAGGCCTTAAGGAGGGTATTATACTGGAAAATTGGGGAAGATTTAAATATGTGTAAGAATTTCGGGAAAAGACATTTTTTATTGAGGAAAAAGAACTGATGCTTGGGAGATGAGGAAGATTCTTGAGTGAATTAAAAAGGGATTGAATCAAATCGCCAAAAAAATTTTGACAAAAGGAAGTTGAAAACCCGATAGGAGAATCTAAAAGGCAGAGTTCCTCATGCGGAATGATTATAAAATCTGGGGGAGGGATAAAATCCTTATTGTTGAGAGAAGAAATTTCACACTTTTTTTCGAAGCTTTCATTTCAACGTACTCGATGGCTGACAAAACATTGGATAAAGAACCGCCAAAAGAGCCAACCTCGAGTTACCATAAATTAAGATCTTTTGAAATCATACTTTAAATTTTTAATCAAACCCTGAATCCCTATAGTAAAGTAAAGAGCAAGGGACCTAGTGGATCACCTTGCTGAATCCCCTCTTCATAGGATATGGAAAATTCCCTGAATTTGAGTAACGAAGGAAATCCATAACAGGAATTAAGAAAATTACAGTATTTTGGGAAATGATGTAGAAAAGAGAGTAAGAATGCGCTCCTATGGATGCTGTTGAAGTCATTTCTGAAGTCTAACTTGCAGAGAACCTTCTCCTCCTCAATATTTATAAAAATACGCGCTACATGTGGGGCCACTTCGCACCCACCTCTCACTCCAATTTCTAACTGTGAGGGAAATAGGAGGGAACTGGCCTTAGGCCGGATCCTATTTACAATATCCTTGGCGACTAATCGACGAAAGAATGACCCTATGGCTACACCATCCGGCTTGGTTAAAGACGTGCGCCAAAAAGAATAGGACGAATACAAAGAGTAACTTCGCATAAGAGAATATTATTGCAAAGTTCAGTTAATGATTTCAGCAGAGGGTCAATAAAACCACTATCAAAACACTGAATTAAATTAACAAAAAAACCAGGTCTGAAACCGTCCAAACCACCTGTCGTCCCTTTTTTAAAGGACTTAAAGCACTTAAGTACTTCATCACAGGTAAAGGGAATAGGGGAAGAGCATTGCGGGTGAATGTTAAAAGGGGATGCCAGTGGATTTTTCTTGAGAAGTTGTTGAAAGATAGTAACGTTGATAGGGGAAATAGTATCATCAGAAGTCAATATTCGGGCAGCGCCCTTAATATCTCCAAGATCTAATTTTTCAGAGATCAATTTACAACGGAAAGAGATTTAAAGAGTTGGATGGAGAAAATTCATCAATAATAGTATTTCCAAAATTGGACACTTTCTCCTTGATTGAGGCAGATAAGTTATTTATTCTATTCTTGGGCTTAACTAAAACTTGAAAGCAAAAACTAATTGCATCTAACCACAAGGGTGTTGAGGAGAAATCTAAGTTTAAATTATTCATAATAAAACGTAAGGAACCTTGAGATCGATTCTCGGGCAGCTATAAGGATCCTAGAAAGAACTGGGGACTCATGTGAATTAAGAAATAAATCAACAGAGCTTGAGAAACAACAAACCGTACTGGGGTCATACGAGTGAGGAGCTCTAATAAAAGGATCTGAGAGAGAGGAGAGGGATAATTTTCCAGAATTGAGGCAAACGGGTGAACCATGTTCGAAATTATTTTTAAACATACATGGCAACAAGTGTTTACCATGAGATGCTTTGAATGGGAGAAAACCAAAAAAAATATTAACAGATATAACTTTGAATTATATAAAAATTTTATATCTCATATAAAATAAATTATTTATAAAATATATTAATTTATACCTTAAATTCTTTCCAACTATTAAAATATAAAACCCATGATAAAAACTTAAAATTAATAGCGATTATTTCAAATAATCACAATAAAAATAAATAAATTTCGATTTTATTTTATATCTATGTTTGTAACATATAATATTTTATTATAATAATTTAATAAGCCAAAGAAATACACACAACAATCTTAAATAAATTATTAATATATAGTTTATATAAAATAGTAAATATTACAATCAAATATCTCTATTAGAACTTGAAGATTTTGAAACTGATATTATAATTTTTAAACACATTTTACATATTGTAAATAGAATTAGTTTATTATTGAATAGGATGATAGCCATGGTAATGTTACATCTTATTCTGAATTTTCAGAATCAGATGACTAAAATAACAACATCCACGCCTATGTTAATCTATAAAATATAAATAATAATATTCAAATTAATAAACTATACTATAAGACAGGACTGGTTTTGACTAAAATAACAACATCCACGCCTATGTTAATCTATAAAATATAAATAATAATATTCAAATTAATAAACTATACTATAAGACAGGACTGGTTAAAAAAATTAAAATGTGATAAAGAAAAGAGCTGATTAAAAAATAGTTCCTTTTTTCTTTAACAATTTGCATTAATATTTTTATTTTGAAATGAATAAAAATAAGAAGATTCTCTAAAATTGAACGAACATAAAAAATAAAAGGAACGCCATCCATTTTCAAAAAGATCAACTTCGTTCATGTGACGAACGCGTTCATTTTGAACTCGTTCATTTACAACTTTGTTGTTAAATTTTATATAATTTGGTTAATTAAATTAATATTGAATCTATCATGGTATCATCTGTCTAGAATTGAAGTTATACACTTGGCATTTCAAAGATTTTTGAGTTATGCGTGGATTTTAATTGATTAGGTCCTAAATATAATAAATAACTGGATTTAAAAATATTAATTTTTGGCCATAAAGCACTATTAATTTTGGGCTATTTTCGTAATTTTAGTTATATAAGCACTATGATATTATATTTTATAATCACCTGTTGTAAACCTTTTTAAATTTTATAATAAAATTGCAATAAAATATGTATGGAAAATATTATTAAATATTGTCGTAATTTTTTTTTCCAGTTAAATCAGAGACTATTTTAAATGGTATCTCTGCAGGACTCTGTAATAAAATTATTATTACTATGCATAAATTAGAAATAAATAAAGATTGTGTCTACATTATATAATTTTGATTATATAGTAGTTGTCATATTATTATTAAATATTATTTATTTTTAGAAATAATTATTTTGTTTAATATTTATCATATCGCCTGATTTTATTTATCACGTGAAGAACTCGTGATTTCTTTAAAGTATAAAAGGGACGATATTTTATAATTATAAAGACTTTTACTTTTTGTTTTTTTTGTTGATATATATATTTGGACAAGTGATATAGTTAGCGTTGTACTGGTAGAGTTTTTTTATAGTATATAAATTTCAGTAGTTACCTCTAATTTTGCTTTTATTCAATAAATTCTCATAAATAAAATTGAAATGGACCATTTTGAACAAAAAATAATTCATAAAGTGTTTATTTGCTTCACTTGCGATTTGATTTTATCAAATAAAATTCTCATGAATTTTTTTATATTTAGACTATTTGAAATATTGTTAATATACCCCTCAATTTTTTACTTATAAATATATAAGGTTTTCTTATATTTGAATCTAAACTTTGAAATCTTTTTCCCAGTTTTAACAATTTTGCAAGTACAGCATTCCAAGTCTAGAAGAATATATGTCAATAGTAGTTATTTCTTCAGATGAAGATGATTTAACTTTGCCTTGGCATTAATGAAACTTTTTTTAATATAAATAAAAAAAAATTATGGGTACTATTCAAATGTTTCAACCCCCAATTTCAGCATCTCAAGTATGAAAAACATATAAAGGCAAAATTATCAATTCAGATTAAATTCTGATAAGATTAAAAAATTGATGAGGATCTGAAATGAAGATTCTTATCAAGATGATAATTCCTCACAATTAAAATTTTTATTTAAAAAAAATAATACAACCCTCTTATTCTCTACGCCAGCGTTAATTTAGCATATCGATAACTATGTTTTAAGCTCACTTGTTTATCTTATCAAAATTTTGAAAATTAATTATTGTTAAAAATAAATAAATTTATAACAAAAGGGACTTTCTTAAATATATTATTTTTTAATAATTTTATTTTTATTATCTATGGGGAAAAATTAAAATTTATATATAATATTTAGTATTTTTCGAGTAACGCCTTACTTTTTTTTGAATACCGTGTAACACGTTCCTTTTTTTTTCATAAGGTAACATAACTTGTAACGTAATTCTTTTTTATGTTTACAACATTAATTAAAAGTGACTAATTTAGAGGGATAAAGCTAAAAAGAAATAATAAAGATTTCACTTATGCTCTCTTTAATTTTTAAAGGGACATAAGTTTTAATAACTATATATAAGGTAAACATAAGGATAAAGAGTATAGGTTTTGTACTCGCCCTCAAGTTTTTGTTTGAAATTGCACATGTAGGTATTCAAGAAGCAATTCCATGTTTATTTTAACTCAGGTCCATATCACCCACTTATTATCGTTAATTTTAAAATTTAAAACTTTATTTTATAACTAATTATTAGGGTGAAAAAAAATTAAATGCAGCAATTTTGAAAAATGATGGTGATAGGAGTTCCATATCGTCAAAATCAGAATGTTCTGTAAATAAACGTAATAAAAAAAATATGAGCGAAACTGAAGCCGCTACTAAAATTCAAGCGGCTTATAGAGGATTTCAGATACGACAACTCTACCCCAAAAAAAAAAATAAAAGTAAAAAATCAAATCAAGAAGATTCCTCTACCACCGCTTATTCAAATTCTTCAATATATGACAAACAAAAAGACCCAAAGCTTAATCCACAAAAAGTATACATTTTACCCTTATTTTTTTTATATACATAACTTTCTATTCAATTTTAAAATCAAAACATTAAATAAAATATATTTAAAAGTTATTGGGAGAAAATTCGATTGGCTTGATGGGACGAAGTTCTGTAGATACACCCGGCCCAGACTCATAAAAAATTGAAATTTGGGACTAGCTCAGCCCTCAGTTTAGCCAGACCATAGTTATTTTAAAATAAGCCTGGTCCGCGCATACTTTAAAACATCTGACATTTTTAATATAGGCTCGGCCCAATCCCATAAAAAAATTGAAATCGAAACCGGCTCATAGTTTATTTTTTTTAGCTAAGAGGATCTTTGGAATATACTGGTACGATAGTTGGGAATTTTGAAGTTTAATATAAGTGCAAACGGGACGACAGCAACCTAAAATTAAATAGAATTTGAGAAATTTAAATTAAGAAGAAATAATTGGAGGTATACTAATCAATAGAGATAAAAAAACTGACCACTAAAATGGTGATAGCTAAAAGTAGTGTGGAAATATTTATAAGACCTTTTAAACTTTTTTACAAAACTTTTAATAGTTCTTGATCAATATTTTATTAAAATTGTTATCAGTACACTAAGATTTAATCAGTTTAATATTAGAATATCGGATTAAAAATAGGTCAACATTATTTGATCAGTAAAAAATATAAGTCCGTGAAGTTGGCTCTTTTATTCTCTATTTTTTGTATAGACTGATTGATTTGTGCTGTTTTGTGACGTTTCCATTTTCATTTGTGCAATTATCGTAGTTATTCTTTTGATAAAATAATATATATAATACTGTAATAATTTACGCTAGCTTGTGCAGCTTTAAGTTCGATTTAGTTGCCGTTTCTGAATATTTAATAAATTTGGATTTTTTAATTATTATTATTATATAATTTTTTATAACTGGAAATGATTAGAACTCATTTGTTCAGCCTAACTATGTTCGAAAATTAAATTTATCTTGATTAGTTAATTAGAAAATTAACCATCCACCTTTTAAAATTCATAAAATTTATTGACAGGATTGATTTGTGTTGGTTTGTACAATTCGATTTGTGCTCACCTTTTTGAGTTATTCCAAAAAAAAATATGGGCGTAATAAATGTAAAATCTTTAGTTATTTTTTTTAATTTTTATAAACTGAAATGATAGGGACTCATATTTTTTCTAATGATGCTTGAAATTTATTTACTCTGGATTAGATTGTCCAAAAATTCGCCAAAACTAGTTAAACATCCAATTAAATTTGAATAACTCAAATACTGTAATTGTACTAATTAAACTTAAAATACCACAAATAGAGCATAAATCAATCCCACCTATAAAATATTCATCGGATGACGATACGATACCTCTTCATCTCTGTTCCATCCCTCTATAATACATAGCTAGCCGGCATCATCACAATACCATAATCCCTCCCCATCCCTGCTGTTCACGCATCCCACGGTCGTTTAATACTGTGAAAGAGGATGTTTTTTTAAATATATTATTTCACAATAAAATGATGCCAATATATTCATTTTGTAATACAAAATAAAAAAACAATTTTATAAAAAATTTCAAATAAGGTTAATAATTTTAGCTTAGAAATAAAAATAATATTATAATATTTTTAAACATTTCTTATTCTCAAATTTTACTGGTGTACACTGAAGAAAATATGGTAGTATATGTCATTTTTTTCATATCTTTAAAACTAATATTTTATATATAAATTATATTTGATTTAAGAAATGATGTATATTACATGTTGTATTGATATTGGAATTGGTAATTATGGAATGAATCAAATTCGTTAGACCTATGACACCTTTTAAATGATTTTATGTAAACAATGGTTTTAAACTCTGTAAAAAGCTAAATAAAAATACAATTAAATATCAATATTTAATAATAGATCAATTAAAATAATATAAATATTAAAAGCCTGATTTCATTTATATTTTGTAATTTATGACTATTCACTCACCATAGAAAGTCTATATAACAAAAGGAATTTCTATGAATGATAATGAATTTTTAAGAATTGATTTGTCAAGTTAAATAATTAGTGAGAGTTGAAAAAAAAAACGTTATTATAAACTGTGGAAACCACCAATCTAGTGTTGTTAAACGGTTCGATTTGAGCCATTTTTTAAATACGGCGGCTAACTCAATATTTTAGCCAGAGAAATATTGCCCAAACTTCCAGATTTGGTAATAGATGTCCTAACCTTTCTGCAATCTAAGACCAAAATCTTCAGGCCTGCGTAATATTTTTCTGGATAAAATATTGAGTTAGTCTTTTTAAAAATCGGCTCAAATCGAGCCTAACAACACTACACAAATCTATTTTAAAATAATTTTGACCAAAATTAAAAATATTTTTTAAAGATATATCACTATCATTTGATTTTAATTTAAATATAAGCATAAATTCAACCTTTAGCTAATTTGCAAATGTTTGTTATTATCAATATAAACTAGGCTTATTCAAAAATGAATACGAAAAAAAAAATTCGATAAGTTGTTTTTAAAAATTAATAAAGGAAAAGAAAAATATTCAAAAATAAGAGACAGATACATTTTTCATTCTGATATTTAGTTCAGTTCAACTTAGGTTTCCTTTTTAGAGATAGCAGAATTTTAAAATTCTGTCAATATATTTTGATATGAATTATTTTATCATATTTTAAAAAAGTATCATTTTTATTTGAATTGAATAAATTTTATTATTCTTTCTTCTAATAACGATCTGTTTTTTTTATTAATAAAAATTTAAACTATCTCATCCCCCCTTCCTCCTCCCACATTTTTTCTATTTTTTTTATAAAAATTTTACTTTAGGCTGTGTCCAAAATCTAAAAAATATAAATAAATTTTGAAGAAAAAAATAAAATAGTGTCCTATATCATTTTCGGTTTATAAAAATTTATTTTTTTAAAAAAATAATAAAAATTAATAAGTATTTTTAAATAAGATTGCCCATTTTTATAAATTTACTAACCCAAAAGATTATAGCCATTTATATTATAAATATATTTTTTAGTCAGAAAATAATTGTGTGGAAAGCATAAGAGTGGGAAAAATTTAGAGATTCATTGATAAAATTATTTACAACATATATGTATTTATTAAGTATATAAATATTATTTAAATATAACCATTATCATATAATAGGTATATACAATGGTTTAATAACTGAAAGGTAATATAAAATATTAGATACAATTAAATATTAACATATCTTTTAATAAATAACTAAAATTGAATCATATCAGGCATTTTGAATATTTTAATTTTTATAAAACTTGAATGTGCAAAATGTTTTGTTATTAATTTGCGAAAATTTTAAGGATTTTTTTCAAAAGATTTTGGACTCAGCCTTATAAAATAATTTTGCTATATTTATGAAAAAAATTTTTAAAGAAATAATTGTTCTGGAAAAAATTCGAAAAAAATGTCACAATTAAACACCTATGAAATATAAAAATTTGAAATTCAATAATTATGTTTTATTATCGCGGGAGTGGATCCAACAGGTAGACCTCCTTATGTCCTGCCTTTTGCCTAGGGTGGCATGGTTTGATTGATATTAAACACAAATCCGATTTATCTCTTAATTCTGGGTGTAGACATAAATCATCTCTGGGGATATACGGCTAGGGTTGCAAAATTTGTGATTTTTTAATTTAAATCGCGATTTTAATAAAATAATTTCAATAGAAGTTGTACAGATCTGGATTGAAAATATCATACAGCATATTTTTTTTACCTTACTATATAAAATATTACCTTAATATAAAAAATATTATCCTTCAAAAGTAAAATATATATCAATAAGTAATGAGCTAAATTGAATTTTATCAAATGTCAAAAAAATTTTATGATATTTGCATACATTTAAATAGAAAGTCGATGTCAATGAATCGGAAAGAAAATCATTCAATAAAAAAGAATATATTATGAATATCCTAAAATAAAATTAATAAACCAAATTTAAAATTTAATTTGTTTGATCAATAAAATAATAATGGTTTATTATTTTTTTATTATTTTTAATTTTAGCTGTTGTTTTCCCCAATTGGGTATCCTGATACATATTAGCCTAATTTCAGATGCTAGAATTATATTTGTTCATTCGTTAATACCATATACTTATCCAGTTTGCTAAGAGAGGGATGGGCACTATTAGGTAGGTTTTTCCCCACATAAATTTTATTAGAGGTCTTTAGGTCAACTTATATTTATCAAATTAATTTTGGATTTTCACTTATTTAATAAAAATACTTTTTCCAAAATTTTGTATTATATTTACTATTTTAAAAAGTTATTAACTTTAACTAATTTTTCTTACGAATTCTTCTTTATCGTGATGAGAGGGGGATATGGGGAAGGAGTATAGAGGGGATATTTTTATTAACTTAGAATGGCATTTATGAAAACAGGCAAATTTATGACGAGGGAGGGAGCGCTCTTGGTTACGCGTCCACCCTTAATTCTAAATAATCCTGATTATTTATTATTTAATTAATATATGTTTATACCCATTACCCTCAGATTTAATATATTTTAAAAGAGACCAGGGCTATCCGGCAGATGGGGTAAGAATGAATTTTATAACTTTCTCATCTTTATAGCTAATTGTCTCAAATTTGATCAAAAGATATATTTCATTACACTATCTACCACATGTTTATTTAGTAACGGAAGCTCCATATTCTAAAGATATTGATCAAAAACATTTTTTCAGCTCTTTTTCACCAACTTAATTTTTAGTATTTCTTTGCTTTGAGGTATTCAAATTTTATGGAATTTATATGAGACATTCCACAATGTCTAGGCTAACGATTAAATTTTGTCTGGCCCGGTGCTAAATGGCAAAGGGTTAAATGACAAATAAAAGAAAGTTAAATTTGCACATGAAAAATTATTACAATCAAAAAAGATAAAAATAAAAATTTATTAAAATAAAAGAATTTATAAAAAAATTGAAATTA